GTTGAAATTCCCGATGTGTCAGAGGCCTTCAGCTTTCCTCCACTTTGGTATTTGTGAATCATAAAGTGTATTCCAGCGACTTTAGCTATTCACAAGGATGGCAGGGTCATTGCACAGGTGTATAACCGTACCAGTAGCTTGTTCATTCCAGAAAAATCAGCAGTGCATGAGGCGATGCAGGCCTCCATCCTTTGTTTATTGGTCACTTGTCGTGTTTCAAGTGGTGACAATCTTGCGATTTCATACCAGTGGACCACTAAAATTGTCCTAACGGTTCATTCCAGGCATGGCTACTGGACATGTTGAATATGCTCGAGGTGGTCGAAGGCCATCAAGGGAGGCGCCGAAGGCCATCGGAGGCCTCCCACACCTACCAAAGAATTCTAATATGAGCATTCATTCTTATTTGAGGTAGATACATGTTGGAGAAGCGAAAAAAAGGCCTCGCCATTCACCCACCATTATAATAGCAATGCCCGAAGAGTCGGTGAAGGCCGGGCCGCAGATTGATGGGCCAATCAGAACACGAATAACCATGAGCTCAATGTAAAATGTTTCTAGTAAGCTCAATATTGGATGGAATATCATGGGACATGGACCAAATGAAAGCTGGGCGATGCCCGGGCACTAGGTAATCAACAGATCTCACCCTGAATCAAGTTATTTTTCGATGCACAAATATCTGGCAAAGTCAACCAAGGTCTTAGGTTGAACATTGCACAGAGTAGCAGAGGATCAGATTCAACATCTTTGAAAATTTTTCCAGTGAAAGAACTCTTCACCTATATTGTAAGAAGCCTGTACTAAGTGCCAAAGGTGGGATTTATACTTATTCCAGGTCTCAGACCACAAATATAGGGGGGAAAACATCGAAATTTGGCACATGCCTTAAGGATCATGCACATTGCTGGTTAAACCAGCTCTATATCTGCTGGACAGTATTAATTCATCATCCCAAGTATGGAAAGTACACAATCAAATCCTCTTCGATCGATGAAAGCCCAAAAGGATGATGTGGAAGCCTCCAACGACCTTCAGCACCTCCAACACCTCTCCAATATCTTCAACATGCCGTGAATTGTGCACAACCATTTGGTCTGGTGGGAATTTGGTGGGGCATGCATGTTTCACAGATTGTGGTCATTTGTTCATATGCAAAAAAAGCATTTGGTTGGTTGGAATGTAGGTGTCGGAGGTGTGGAAGGTGCCCCAAGCCCACCCAACAATTGAAGTCCTTGTACGTCACCTTGAATAAATATATCGTTCGGAAATGCTTTGACTGATTGGCCAGATTTAGCAGGTTCAACCATAGATTATATCTTTGAATCGCCATATGACACAGATTCCTGTGATGACTCAAATTACCTGGAGCATCCAATCAGCACAACTCGATTGCCCGGAATTAATTTTATGATGTACCACTATCAAACTGGTGGCATAGTGGAGGCCTCCGATGTGTCAGAGGTAGTAAGCCTGATGCTTTGCTATCACCTCTAATGCTTTGGGAGGCCTCCCGAGTAATATCAATCAAATTCACCTGTGTCTTGCACATTTATCCTGAGTACCACCAGTCGCAGGAGTACAGGATGCACAGTGACTGTAGTGGCTGGTGCACACCAGCTACCACCTATACCCACCTGAAATTCTTGGATTAGGCAGGGGAGGGAGGTGTCGGAGGCCAAATTGGAGGCGCTGGAGGTGGTGTTGTTCCTTGAACTGCTCTTTTTGTGTGTTCAATCAGAAGTAGAGACTATTGGTACTACATGTGAACCTCAAGTAAGAATAAATATTCATATTGGAAGCCAGTATGTCATTATTTGGGACATGTCGGAGGCCTCCGACGGCCTCCGACACCTCCAGGATCTCCAGTCATCTATAATATAATCATATAAACCTTGAAGATGGTAATTGATTAGTGGGCTCCTGGATTCATATATTTTCCTGCCATATATAAGGAAATTTTATTGAATGTGGTTGAGCTGTAGCCTACCAGAGGTCATAGGCATTGTAAGCTCCACCTGCAGATTAAACCCATCTTAGGTCCTCCATAATAGTTGAATACAGAAGGAAAACAACCAGAACCTCTGTGCTTTGATCTACTGGCCAAATTCAACCACGGGGACATAGGAGGCTCGCTGTTGATTGTGAATAATTTTCCAACAGGCCCCTAGACTCATGATGACTCAAAATTATGTTGAGCATCCAATCAGAAGAACTAGATTGTCTAGAATCAGCTTTATCATGCACCAATATCAAAGGGGAGGTGCCGCTCAGGTGTGGTGTAGGCCTCCGACGCAACCTCCTATATGGTGGAAAGCCTCCTGAGCAGTCCAAACATGTTACAGGATGAATCAACCTATGTGTGCAGACTCTGGGGTGCTTTGCGAATAGATAGATTCACTGGAATTTATTCTATGCTGGATCAAATTGGCCGTGAACTTCAGCTGGAGGCCTTCGACACATGCCAGGAAGGCTCCCAAGCAGTTCTAGCATCCCACAGATCAGACCCCTATGTGTGAGGCTGCTTCTGATGTTACTTATCAATAGCTGGAGTCACTGGAAGTAGCTTTACAGTGCATGAATATTGGACTGGAGGCAAGCCGGAGGCCTCCAACACGTTGATGTTAATTTTAAAACAAGCAAGGATCATGCTTTGAAAGTAATCTAAATCATGCACAGTATATGAGGCTATAAGGGCATAAACAGGAACCAAATTAGAGGCAGGTTATATGCTGCGATGGAGGCCCCGAAGCCGCCAGCAGAGGGTGGTGGGAAACCGAAGGAAGATCCCGAAGATCACGCGAAGGGCATTTATAAGCAGATGACATAATAGAAGCCACGATACCTCCGGCGCTCCGACGCCTACCCCGGCCTCTTAGGGGGGTTTTACTAATACACGGTAACCCCCCCTAACAGGCCTCCACGTGACTGCGTCGCCGCTCCCTTAGGTGCTTCGTCACTTCGTTACTTCGCTTATTTTCACGAAACCTCGTCACTTTGATCGCATTTAGGGAAAGTTCGTTACTTTCGATGATTTTCTGTGAAAGCTCGTCAGGTGAGTAAATTCTAATGAAAGTTCGTGAGCTCACAGTTCATCCAATGTTAAACGTCACGTGGCACGTTCGACCTTTCCCTTCTACCACTCCCACGATCATCGCGCCTGCGCCAGGAATCCGCGGGATCGCCGGCAACGCACGCCGACATCCAAGACAGAGCTTTCATCACCGTGGTGCGTGTATGACAGTCCCCTCCGTGCTGCACACCGAACATGGAACAAAACTCGCACCGTGACAAGAGCAGCATTTCCTTCACTCGGAATCATGCAGGAATAGGGCGGACGGTTTTTTATTCAGCATGGCAAGGCCACTTCTCCGGTGAGCGGTTGTTTTGGTATTCCATGGCTTGCGTGATACACGGCCCCGGGCAAGCGCGGCGCGAGGCGCGAGGGCTGTAACTGGCCGTGTGGACATCGCGGGCGCCGGTGTCGTGCTTGAATCACTAGCTTCTGTGCATCGCAGCGCACCGCGTTGCGGCCGGAGACTCCGTCGCGCCGCAGCAACTGGGCAACCACGCGCATCGGGGAGCCGTCTTCTGCTCTGCGTAGGAGTGCTTGCTCCTCGGCACCGTCGCTGATTAACGGCCGCCGTAGCATCCGCACTAAGTAATCATAATCATGTACTCACCCACCTTATATATTTTCGCACCTACATGTATTTCAGCGCTGCAATTGCATATCCGTTAGACCGTTGTATTCCCATTGAAAACATGAACTTTTATCTAACTACCCCACTGGTAGTGTGCAGTACAGTAGGTTCAATGTACATAAAGTGACGAAATTTCAATGGGCTAGCGAGAAGTGACGAGCTTTGACTGAAATTTCGCTGAACTCACGAACATTCATTGAATGCCATCAAACTGGCGAACTTACACGAATTTAAGCGAAATAACGAAGTGACGAGTTTTGCGCGGCTGAATTTCTTGTCTCCATACAAATTTTCGTTCTAGGCTCCGCGGGCAGGAGTTGGAGCGCAAATATTCAATTCTGGGACTTGATCTTTGTCGGGTACCCAGCTCCTTGCAGAGTCTCCCGGCTATGGCGACAATCGTCTCAAACTCGGTCCCGGAGCATCGACTCGGTCTCTGAGTCAAGTTTCAACATGACACTGAAATGGCTTTACTTCTCCTCCTTATATTCCTCGGATACTCCGTTCTCGGGCCTCCCATTTCCGACGAGTTCGGGGGCTCTGCAGATCCGCCAGTGCACCCCGACTCGATTCCGCTCCCACTGCTGCTCGCACCGCGTCCGCTTCAGCTTTTTTACTTGGCAAGTATATCAACGACCGGGTAGCACAATGGTTAGTGCGTTTACATGCTGTGGAACTTTCTCGCCTTATATTCTGCAGAAAACCCCCGCTCGGCTCGGGATCAGGTCATATTCCGAATTCGAGTTCCTCTTTCTTTGTCTTCTTTGGCATCATCAGGTGGGGTTTTGCCGCCAACGGTCCCGGCTCTACTTTTTTAGCCTTGCGTCTGTTACTGCGCCGGAAAGTCTCCTTCATACGTACTATCTCAACTGCACAACTTGCCACCCAAATTAAATCACCAGTCTACTTGGATTGTGGATTTCAATTTACCTCGCAACAAGCCATGCAACGCCATTCAACTCAAGTTGTACGTTCACCCAGGAAAGACCTGATTGCATAACGATTAATGCGTCTGTATTCAGTTCGAGTGACAAGATCAACAAGTTATGCAGAAGATCCCCGGCCCCGTTCGACTCGGGGTCAGGTCATGCGCGGTTCTTGATTTCTTTTTTTTCAGGGCTTATTGCTGTTTCAGTTTATCGAGAACACCCATCATAATTTGCTTTGGCTGCATCCGCCGATTACTCCTCGTTCGACAAGAGGACTCCCTGACAAGGTAAAGCACTCCTTACTGGATAACCTGAGTGAGCGGCCTCTCGCAATACCTCAAGACCCAAGGTACGCAGACCCAGGAAAGACCTGGTAGCACAATGTCAGTGTGTCTGCATACAGTGACATCTCTCCGTGCTAGAGTCTGTGCAGAAGATCCCTGCTCGACTCGGGGTCAGGTCATACCAAAGGTTTAAATATGCTTTTATTTTTATTTTCCCCTTCTCACCATCTCGATTAGTCCGTTGACAAGTTTGTATTGCGGCTCCAGACATAAATGAGCCGCCTCGCAGATACAGACGGGTGTGATCTCTATCGCAAGTTAAACTCAAAATGTACACCGCAGTTTTCCCTGCCTTGTCTTAAGTGCGCACTCGTAATACTTCACTTTTGAAACTCGAAGGATGCGTACCCAGGAGGACCTGGTAGCACAATGTCAGTGCGTCTGCGTACAATACGAGGGACATATCAACGTCTGTAGAAGGTCCCCGTTCGACTCGGGGTCAGGTCATATCTCGGAGGGAATCTTTTTTTTCCAGCTCATGGGATGGTTTCCTCTACGGAAGTCATCCCTCGCAATTCTGTTTGCTGCATCTGCTGAGCTAGCGATCCTCGTCCCTTCCCCCATGACGGTACACTTCGTTGTAAATTCAGCCACTCGTGTGTGTGTGATATTATTCTCTCCTTGGCGACAAGGAACCGACAATAACTCGAAAGGCGAGACACATGCTCCCAGGAAGGCCTGATGGCACGATGTCAGTGCGTCTGCATATAGTATTCTGCTCCGTTTCTGCAGATGATCCTCGTTCGAACCGGGGTCAGGTCATACATATGCTCCTCATCGATATTTTTCTCGGGCTCCGAGAACGCCCTGCGTGCAGGTGTTAACTCTCGTCACCTACGGCGGCAGTGGGCACCACCTCCTCGTCAAATTCAACGAATTCAACCAATGGGATACTTGATATTTTCGTCCTCAACTCGCACTCAGCGTACTTCAAGACGAGATACATATACCCAGGGCAGACCTGGTAGCACAATGTCAGTGTAGCTGCAAATCTTACACATGCTGTGACTTGGATGGTTTATGCAGGAGATTCCCGTTCGACTCGGGGTCAGGTCGTCCCCTGATTCCGTCTCTTTTTTTCTGCTGGGCTCTTCGGCAGGTTTACTCGACCAGCATTCACGTTCAACTCAACACCAGGTCACCTACCAAGTCAAAACCAGGTGAGGCCTTGAGGCAGAAGTTCCGCGCCGTTAACGTTTGGTCCAGCAATAATCAACTATGGCAAGTAAACTATATTTCTTCGGATGGATTACACACAGCACTCGCCGTGATTCCACACCTCTCTACTTAAATGGTCAACAAATCTGTACGTGGCTGTTTACCGTCCAGTTCGAAGCAGCGGACCCGAAGCACTGAGGCAAAAAATCGTACATGATATCGGTACACTGATGTGGGGAGTCGAACCCTGGCTGCGGCTTACGCGGCAAGCCGCTGCATGAAAAGCTGCTGCGCACCATGCACCACGCCAGATACAGAACTATAAGGATGAATCGGTCAATGAGGGTTTAAATGTCTCCCAGAGCAGAGCGCAGAACATGTTGAAGTTAATGTTCTGTTCTACTCGTCATGATCTGTGTCCCGCAGGGAGGACATGAGAGTAGCTGATCAGAGAAATTTCTGGGCGAAGGTGGAAGGATGAAAAAAAGTTGCAAACCTATCCGGATATTCGGGTGCGGGGAGTCGAACCCCGGTCGGCGGCTTACATTATTACAGGCACTTCCTCTTACCAAAAGCTGCCGTGCGCTGTGTACCACACCCGATTTCTATCTTCGAACGGGCGTCCTCGTAAGTAGTGTAGATCAATGGGCTGGGACTATGTAGTATTTAGATGCACTTTCCACAGAGATGAAGGGCAGCAGATGTTCTCTCATTCGGGAAAATCCAACTCCGAAGACGAGAAGTTTAGCTGGAGGAGGAAAGGCCCGATGCATGTGGCTTCAGTGGATCACCGAGAGAGCTAAATGCAGTGTCAATGAGATGCGTAGTCGTGGAGGAGAAAAGGCGGGGAGCTCGCGTCGGAGTAAGAAGCCCTAGCAGGATTGCTTAATCCGAGCCCGTTGAGACAGTAATCTGGGATTAAAGCCGAGATTAATTAATCCATGGCTGTGCTGTGAAGAAGTCGGTTCAAGAGGATTAAACCGGTTTAAACAGGCCATGAACAAAAATAGATAGCAATGCTGAGGTTCGAACTTGCGACCTCCGACCCACCTGATCTAAATTGGCAGCTTTACTGTTACACCAAAAGTCCGGACTGCCAGGTGGTCTATATGCTCATAGAGACTTCTAAGCCACAACTCTTGTATCACACAACAGGGTTGGTAGACTGTCAGGCTTCAAAAAACACACTGAAACCGCACATAGGGAGAAATAATCTTATGATAGGAACACTTAAGATGAACCAATGCTGATTAGGTTAAGAATATTCGTGAGGTCAGCATTAGGTAGGTATGCATACTTGTTACATTTATTATGCAACTGTTTACTCCTGGGGGTTGCCTGGGATCTTTCATCGGTCAGATCAATGCTTTTTGGTCCTACCATGACAATATTTAAGCTGTGGTTTGTATGCAGCAGGACTCTACTGAAGTAGCCTATAACAGTTAGCATTCTCTCTCTTAATTGTAATCAGTGTTTAAGCAATGACTGTTTAAGCAATAACCAGGGCTCATTTATTGATGGGGATTAATGGTAAATCAGGATTGAACATGCCAGAGGATTTTTAAACCAGAGATTAAAGGCCACTTCACCCCTTAACAGATTCACTGCAAGTGCAGCCACGTGAGGTATTCAATTGCCTATGGTTGGGGTTTCAGACGAGATGCAAACTGCATATACATCTTATGGCTCTTTCTACGTTGGGTTAAATCATCTGGAGTCCGACTCTCTTTTCTAAGTAGAGCAGTTTCAACTGGGACTATGGGTTATGTTGTGATCCTTTTCAGTATGCTTAGGTTGGTGCAGCGGTTGTGCTGCATGCAGGTTTAATGACTCAGGTAGCCTTGTGTTCGATTCTGCCTGTGGGCATATATTTTTGGTCTGTGACTGTTTAAACCGCCGCTCAACCGACCGCACAGCCCCGGATTAATTAATCCGTGCTTAAATCCAGGATTACCATCTCAACGGGCTCGGATTAAGCAATCCTCCTAGGGTTACTGTCGGAGTGAAGTCAAGCGTTTCTCGACGGAACAAAAACTGGGCTTACGAAGGTGAATAACTCTGACTCCTTCCTGAGGAGTTCAATTGCAGTTGTAGAGGTTTGAGGAAATCCGAAAGAAATCCGAAAGAAATCACCGATAGATTTGTTACCTAGTTCCACTGAAAAAATGATGCGGCGAATCACCTGAAGCAAGAAATGCATACAGCGCCATTCACGAGAAAAGAAAGAGCGGATTTGGAGCGAATTCAAAAGGTTGAACATTATCGGATGCCCGGGCCGAGGCTCGGCATGTGGCACAGCTTTCCCGAGTCTCGTTTTTCTGTGACCTCCATCGATCTACCGCTCTGGAATGCTAGCTCCGGCAAACTGGCCAGTCTGGACCGTCACCGGTCATTTCACGCAGTTCGAAAGCCACCCGCCCAGGCCTTCGGCGTGCGCACCTTGACCGCCGGCCCCTCTTACACTTACCCGGTGCACTGTGCGCAGCGCAGTGGCACTGGGAGGCGAGCTTCAAGTTATCAGGAAAGTAGCAACGACTGGTACTTTCTGGCCCGCACATGTGTGCCCGCCCGCCACAGGCACGAGCGTCGTGGCCATCACCGACCGTAAGGCTGCCTCTCGCGCAGGCATTCGCGACGCCAATTGCAATCCACGCGCCCGAGGGCGAGCAGTTCGCGAGGATCTCCGTAGCGCCGGATTTCAGTCACGATGTGTATCCGCTCCGTTCTTCTCTTTGAGTTGGGCCTTACACGTACTTGGTGCGCCAGCAGCTGCGGCTGTACGCCTACGCGCGCGGCACGCGCCACCCGCCTCCGGGCACGCCGCTCTTCGCCTTTGTCCCGGCCCCCGCGCCCGTGCGCGCGCCCCTGTAGATTACCGCCGCCCTCCCAAAGGACGCGTTCGGCGAGCAGTTCGTTAGCATCTCCGCGCGCCCCGAGTTCGCCGGCCACAGCGTCGAGGTGCGTCTCTGCATCCGTGTGTACGTCGTAGAACTGACAGATTTCCCTCTCTTTCTTTCTTTGTCTTGCGCTGCCATTGCTCTTCTTTTGTACTGCGCGCTCGCTTCCCTATTGTCCTCCCTCTCTTTGTCGTGCCCTCGCGCGCCCCACAAGGAGCTCCGCCTCTCCTTCCTCCGCTCCGGCGCGGAGCTCACCTCCGCGCAGACCGACGCCAATACCCACGCCGACGCTGTTCGGTGCACCGCAGGCCGCGCAGGCGCAGGACTTTTCGTTCGGCGGCGGGGGCGCACCTGCGCAGGCGCAACCGAGTGTGTTCGGCGCCCCACTGCAGGCAGCGCCGGCACAAGCGCAGGGCTTCTCATTCGGCGCGCCGCAGCTAATGCCCGTGACGACGCCTAACGTGTTCGGCCAACCTGTGCAGCCCCAACCTCAAGCGCAATCGCTCTTCGGCGCCCCACCCCAACCCGCAGCGCAGGCAGGTGTATTCGGTCAACCAGCGCAGCCTCAGCAAGCAGGAGCGGGGGCGGGGCCGACGTTCTCGTTCGCTGCGGCGCCGGCGCCGACGGGCGCGGGGGGACGGGGTTCTCGTTTGGGGCGCGGAGGGGCGCAGCTTATGTTTATGTTGGAGGCGGGTAAACGGGGCGAAGGGCGTGGGGAGAAGGGAGAGGGGTGAGGGGAGACGCTACGCTGTTATTCCTGTGTTATCGTTTTTGCTATTGGCTTTGGCTTTGAATAACTTTATTGCGCGTTCTGACTGTGCTTTCAGTGGGTTTGGGTTGAGGTTGGTGAGTGTAGTTTGAGGGTGGGTACAGGGGGGAGACAGCCTGATAGCATAACGGTTAGTGCGTCTCCCTTGATTGGGAAGGTAAAGAACATTCTGTACTATTTTGGACCTTTCGACCAATTCTTGGCCATTCCGGGACTTCGTAGGCTCATTCTATTCCCCTGGTCTTAGCGGATCATCTGCCACCATTCTTGCTGTGGCTAGGTCAGGAATTCCTTCGCTATCCTCCCCTGAAGGTACAGCTGCTTTTTTTGAGCTGCTCATGTTGGCTGACGTCATATAAGACGACATGACCGCTGCAGTAATATACCTTCCTCCTCCTCCTCCTCCTGTGGTCTGGAACTTGGCACGAGGGCTTTTGGAGTCTAATACTTCAATTTAGGAGGTACTTCGAAATTTTATCTGCCCAGCTCCTTTCTCAGTGCAGTGCTTTGCCGCAAACAACACAATTCTGATCGTGTCAACAATGGGATTTTTTTGGTGTGCTCCAAGCACCTCGGTACGAAGTTATTAATGCAAATATGTTGCATACCTTTCCTTTATGCTGTTTGAAGCCCAATTTGGGGCCCAGCAAAATTTCATCTTCTGCTGGACACGGCATTGCTTGAGCGGCCTGAGTTCGGGCTTTTTCCCTGTCGGAGCAGTTATTTACACCCCCCATATGGGCCGCATGAACACTAATATATGTTCTAATTATGAATATATGCCCTAAGTGCGATTCCCGATGGCTCCGGTCGCCGAGTTCCAGCTTCAAAGCTTGATTTGGGGAGGTGGCCAACTACCCTGGTATTTGGCCATGTTGAACCGCCGTCCGAAAGAAATTCACTGCCAGGACAAATCTTCATATATTTGGGTGGGAGTA